GGTCATAGATACAACAAATAATATAAAAGGAAATTTAAAATACATCCTTTGCAAACTGTTGTAAAGATTTCCCAGCTTCAAGGTAGAAAATCCTTTCCTTCGACATTGTTTTATAAAATTATTTTTTCTGCTGTAATTTTTTATGCAAATTAATTATTAATTTCTTAATTTTACTAACTTAAATTATTACTTTAAGTTCCGGACTGTTTCATATACCTTGTAGCTTTTTTTCAGTTTATTAAAAAAAATATACATTACATTTATCATTTTTATGAAAACTGAGCTGCGGAGACTTTTTTGTAGAAGAGGCATTTTTAATTTTCGGAGGCGCTAAAAAAACGTTTATTTAATTTATTTAGTACTTTGGTTAATTTTAAGTTTACAGAAACAAAAAAGATTTTGCAGGAAAAGAGGTGTTGTCTCTCAGTGGCTGATCTCCTCTTGGCAAAGTAATAGTCAAAGAGTGATAATACAGCTTTTCCATATCTATTTTTATTTCCACTTCATTTGTTCTTTTTTTTAAAGTTTCATTTGCCATTTCTTCAAAGCAGTGCCATTTTGATGTTAATTTTTATAATTTTAAAATATCGTTACTTTTTTTGGCTCAATTTCTTTTGCCTTTTTAGTTATAGTTATTTTTACTTTATATTATATAAGCCATCCAGACGGTATAATGACTTGAGATACTGACTGCCGCATCAATGGGCCGACGTTTGAATCACGAAAATGGCATGGATTTTTTTTATGTATATAGTGTCTCTGCGGCAAGGAGGCACTCAAAATACACAGCGAGCTGAAAGTCCTCTCGAATAGTTGGTTGTAGGGATAGAGGGATGGAAGACCTTCAGACCTTCATACGACTCCTCTAGGTGTTCTCTCTTGTTGTTAATTAAACTTTGGTAATTACAGAATAATGCTTTTTCAAGTTGTATTATTTTCCAACTATCTCAGGTTCAGCAGTTTGAATTACAGCTTTCTTTTAATTTATAAGATTTTTAAAAGAGATTGAATTCCGAAGTTTTCACATAAGAAATGAACAAGACTTTTAGCCTGCTACAATTTTGGTCACTTGCCATCTTTTAATAAAAACATACGAATCTTGAATATTGATAAGACCCATTACTCTAAAGATGTCAGTTAGAAAAATATTTTTTCTGGTAGTATTAATTAGTCAAATAAATAGCTTTGATCATTATAAGGTGAAAACGAATTGAGAATTCATTAATTAAAATTTTGGGCAATGATATGTAAACAATGAATAAATTGAGTTTATAAATGCATATTTTAAAAGATGTATTTCACATCAGACAAGCATACAGAAACATGGGTTTCAAATTGTTATTTTTGGAAACGCTAAAATTCGAAATTTTTATTTTGGTTATATATTTGTATATGATCACTATAAACCAATGAATTCACTTTTAATAAAAGTGGTTTAGTTTCGTAATTTCATCATTTTTCAGTATTTTTATTTAATTTAATTTATTTATTTATTTGGTAATGTTAGAAGAGATTTGATAACTGGAACTTTCTTTGTAGATGACATTGGTTAAAAGTTTGAATCTCGAATATTTTTGCTACAAATTGTCATATGATCAGAAGTTCTCAGATTAAAAACTTAATATATTTGTTTCATTTCTTGAATTACAATTATGGGACTATGGCCAACAATTTAATAGAAATTCAGTCGTGGAATCTTTTTGGAATACCTATTGTATTAATTCAATCGTCTTTTCCTTTAAGTTTCGAAAATGCTTCTGGTTATCGAAACTTTGTCTGCTGATCTTAACTACTTTCCTTTTAGACTGTAATTTCATCATTTTTTTTTTTTTTTTTTTTTTTTTTTTTTTTTGTAATTTTCCGGTGCATTCAGTAATGTCTAACTTTCGTTTGAACATAACGACTATCCTTCTATATTTAACAATCATAAATATCTCTGTACACACCATTCTCTCTGCCATTTATTCTTCATTAAATTTTACTGATTGTAGCATCATATTATTCACTTTTTAATTCTTGATTTTTGAAAGTTCTTCGAAATCCTGTTGCCTTCTACAGACTCAGAATCAGACTTCTTTATCTAATTACAAATTAATAGTCGGAAACGAGAGATGTAATACCTTCATTTTTCTTGGAAATTGTGAAGTAAGTGGATAATCCTTTAAAATGTTAAAATATTTCTTTAAGGCTGGCGCTCTTATTCTAAATTTTCTACTTGTAAGATAGTCTTGAACCCATTAGCGGTCTAAGGAAACATAATTATGAATGCGAATTATCGCCCATACGATAATAAAGAACAAAAACTAAGTAATGAAAATGAACAAAATAGAAAAGATTTTAAAGCTTATTTAAATCGAAGCTTGTTGTCGAAAGTAAAATAGTGTACCATACAAAATTTAAAGTGTTGCTAACTTGCGAACAAATATACAATGCATACAGCTGTTAAGGAACAAATATACAACACATACAGCTGTTAAGGACCAAATATACAACGCATACAGCAGTTAAGGAACAAAATGCAGCTCATATAGCTGTTAAGGAACCTGTTACAGCTGCTAAGGAAGCGTTCATACGATGGCCTAGATATTATTATTGTCACCTTGTCTTAGTAGTGTCCTAAGGCAGTCACAGTCCTAAATCATTAACTCCGTTCACACCCAGTGGAACAGATTTTAAGCCGTAGCCAATCACGAAAGGTAAAGATGCGCAAGAGTGAATGTATATCTGACTGTGCATTGGACCGAATGACAGTTTGTGTTTCCTTCCTTAGGACTGGTCGGTTGTTAAGACCAAGTTGGCATAAAGTTAAACAGTTAGGACATTTAAACAAAATCCATATACCAGTCTCCCTGATAAGATCTGGTAATACGGTTCAGTAATAGAGTCTGGTTACCTAGCAATGAAGTTTGGCTCGCAAAACACTTGAGGCTGGCAAAACTCTTGTGTGAACACTGGCTGCTCACTCAGTTAAACACCAGAAGTCTAACTGGTTGAACAGTCAGAACTGTTTTAGCATCGTTATGGCTGAAAATCAGAGGCAAGAGAAGAAAATTCCTGCAGAAAGTAAATTGATTTTAAACTGTTCCGAGACTAACAGAGATAATATCCTAACTCCCAGACTAACAGAAATATACCTGCACCAAACAGACATGCTATCACATAAATATTACTTTTCTTACACTTTGCTATATGCGGAGGAGCTCTATCTTACATAAAGACTGTGAATGCAAGGCAGTGACGTGCTTGAAGAGTCGAAACAATTTCAGTGTCTAATTTTAGTGTTTCAAATTGCGTCCCGGTGATCGAACATGTCATTCTACCTGTTAGAGTTAACTCCTCGAAGATGTATTTTCCCAGAATTAATGATGCAAGGTTCTCAGAGTCGCGAACGACTAGCAGCAAATCTCCCAACAGAGACGAATACTTCACAAACGATAAATAATCTTGCTATGATATAAAACAAATTGCATGTAAAACTCCACATTGTTTTACTCATTCTTACGTAACTAATATTTGTATACATTTTCTGAGTTAAGCAAATTATAGGGGAAGCCAGAAAGCAATAAGACAGAATAAAAACTAAAAGCTTTACTTTTAAAATAATATAAATATAACAGAATGAGCTAAGCTAATACAAACCCGTTAAATTATCTTCATTAATTAAAATAAGACCCACATGTATCTCAAAGAAAACACAAATTTATATTATAAGTATACTAAAATTTTGCCAGTAATTGTGATTTTAAAACAGAATTCAAGGAATATGATTGCAATGGGCTTACTGAGGTTTAGCTTATCAGATAGCATTCGAAGAAACAAGTGACGATGTTTCAGCAGCAACTGTAGAAATATTTCGATGCGATCAATTGCCCGAGACTGAGAAGGTCCACCAGTTTTGAGTTCATCATCGGCATCGTCACGTCCATCATGAAATTATCCGTATCAGTGAAACACATTCAATTATGTTTGAACTTAATCTCCGTGAACTTCACATAACGTTTCAAATTTGTCCTTGCGGACTTTTCCGCTTCACAGCATAATTTTAGTTTTATTCTTTCCTCAGCTTTCGAATAAGTGACAATTAAATGTACGCTTGATCAAAACAAGCGGTTAATGGCGCAAAAAATTCTATCCCTAAGCCGATGATATTTTAATAAATCCTAGCTGAGATATAGAGATACTTCTAGCATAATTCTTGCAATTTGTTAAAAAATTATTTCTAAAAATTCCTGTATACTTTGAGATTGTTATATTTACAAGACAAATAATGGACAGCGAATGAAGCACTTTGATAGAATGTTAATTCCCTGTCAGACAAAAATCTTCAATCGTTGTATTTCTGCATAAATTCTCTTTGCTGATGTTAGTAAATAATGGAAGTCGAATGCCGTGTTGTATTGCTGTTATCACCAACAAATAATGCGAGGGAGAATGCAGGCATGTTGTCTTTAACTAGACGCAAAGGGCACTCGTAGTGACAGACTTCTCAGCCTGTACATAGAAGTAAATATTTGAGGATCTCATAACTCTTGCCTTTTCCACCAACCTCTAAAGAAAATTTCCTTACAGATAGATTTTATGGGTCCCTTTTCCGTGTAGACATGACGATATGAATGAGTATGTCTTACTGACCATTCTAATCGGACGAGCTGCCTGTTCTAACCATCATATTAGTGATTATATTTTCTGGAGGGCAGTCTTATCGATATCTTTTCTGGAATTTCTTGCGTGCTGGATCTTGCAGTAGTTATTCTTCATTCAACTTCTAAAGCTTCCTTTTAAGCAAGACAAAATATCGAAACAAGAAACTAATGATCACTCACAAAATTCTCAAGAATGCTAAATTTCTCAAGAATCGGTTAAAAATCAAAATATCGATTTCAGATTTGCATTCTAAGTAATCATTTCCTGTATTACAATTATTTATCGCTTACCAATAGCAGCAATGTAAAAAGGAGCTACTAAAATATGGCTTTTCTATTTGTTTTCATTTTAAAGGTGTACCTCCTCCACAGAGGTTAATTTTGGAGAGACAAATGAACAAAAGTTTGCTTATTGGTTGGGTACCACCAGAGGTCCCTCCTGGTAGGATAGAAGGATATCATGTGTATGTGGATGGAGTACCAAAAGCAACAATCAAGTATTCTGAAAGGACAAGGGCTTTAATTGAAGGCGTTGATTCCTCTCGGGTAAGATTGTTTCTAAATTTTTTTTAAAAAATTATATACGGCATTTTATTGCAACATTTCTCAAGAACGATGTGTATTTTCTAAAGAAAGGAACATAAAGTTTTTATATTTATATAGATTCTCTTTCAAATGCTGAGATAAATTAGGGAACTACATGAGTAAAGACGTTTTGAATCTGCTAAAAATATTAAAGCTATCATATATTATTAAATGTGTCATCATATATCATTAGGTCATTCAAAATAGCAAAAGAGTTTAATCGAATTACATTTTCAGGTAAAAATCTTTTGAATTTCAAAGAACTTTTAATTATCCAAATGATTCATTGCATATAAATGAAGTTTTCACATCGATAACAACGCTATGTAAATAATATTTCAACAATAAGACGTGTAATATAATCTTAAGTTGTTTAATAAAGATATAATTCATTTTATTCATTATTTCAGCCGCATCGTGTCAGTGTTCGTTCTATTTCTAGTTCTGGTTATCAGTCCAAAGATGCAGCTTGCACTATTGTAGTTGGTAAAGGTAAGATATTTTTAGTACAATTATTATTATTTTGTGAGAAACATTTGCGGGGAATGAATAAAAGTGCAAACTCTGTTTTTGTTTAAAAATCCGAAATATTTGCATCCAAACAAATCATCCAAACAAAACAAATAATCTGCGCGCGCTAAATTAAGAGGATTCAAATAAAATTTATATTAAACCGTTATATTATTTTTAAAAGTTTGTACATTCATTAACGGCAAAATCTTTTCTTAAGATTTTCCTTTAGCTCCAACATGTGTTAAAGCTTCTCACATCACAGCATCATCAGCTTTGATTAGTTGGCTACCAAGTAACAGTAATTTTCAGCATGTAGTGGCAGTTAATAGCGTCGAAGTCAAAGTTGTAAAACCAGGATGTTTTCGCCATCATGTCACAGGTAATGAATATTTTTCGTGATTCTTAAAATTTTATTTAATGCAATTACATAAAATAAAACTTCCTTTTTCTTACAAGGTCATGAGTAGTTTACATTTTTGCTTACAGAATTTTCTTCACTATAGCCTCATTTTAAAAATTTAAATTGCCATTGTTACTTTGGGACTGCTTCCCTACTATGTTTCAGCCGTCACATATTTTAGTCTCTAAATTTGTCTCTAAATTGAAATCAGTCGCTAAGACTTTCTCTCATAAATATTTATTTATGAGAAAAAGTGATGCTTTCAAATCCTATTAATTCATACTTATGGAACATAAAGCTTCTAAGTACCCTAAGTAGCAGTGACCGCTTAACTAGTACAAATGAGGAAGAAGCTGAATGTTTTCAAGTCAAAAGAATGCTTTTGCAGATTTTTAGCATGCAATTTCATGAAATATTATGTTATGCCAATATATAACAGTTCGTTCTTTTTAACTTATTTCTTGCCTTTAGTTTAAAAATTCGAAGGAATATGGAAAACACGCTAATATCCGTAGACTTTTAAAATTCTTCATTAAATTCAACAGACGTGATATCGTGAGTCAGTTTATTTAAATGAAAATTTACTTGATGATAGCGAGAATATTTCGTCTTATTGTTTTGCTTCAGTATTAAGAATGAAGATAATTGAATAATAAAAGCATTCTTAAGTAATGTTAAGTTCATTAAATTTCTCTATGTCATCGTCTAAAAGTTTAGATTTCTAACTTGTGAAATATACTATATTTATTTTAAAATATCTTATTTTGATTCATTTTAAGCATAAAGTCTTGAGGTTCTATACACTTTCAAAAGATGATAGTTGTTTTCATATTTATATGCAATAAAGGCTTTTTCTCTTAGGTCTGTCTCCTAACACACTATATAGAGTATCTGTCAGAGTTAAGCCAGGAAAACTTTTATATAATGATGAAAAAAATCCGAAAAAATTAGAAATGTTGGTTAGTAACGTGGAGTTCAGAACTCTTCCTAAAGGTAAGTTAATTTTAGTACCAGAGAATAAATCTGACATAGATGCCCATACATATTTATTCGTAGGATACTTTTTTGCATGTTCAGTTTATGAAATTTTTAATTTCACTAATACGCCACAAAGACACAAAGCTATGCGTCTTTCAAGGAATATCTTCCGTAAATACATTGCCTGAATTCACTAAATCAAGTGAATAAAAGTCTTCAAGTGAATAAAACGAGTCTTCAAGTCTTCAAGTAGTCTTCAAGTGAATAAAACGAGAAACTTCTGCTGTGTCTCAATTTTTTATTTTTTTTTTATAGAAATCTACTCCAGCGGCAATCTTTCAATGATGAGCACCTTAATCCCTGCGTTAAGCAAATGGCTTTTGGGAATAAAAAATGGGTCTTTTATTTAAATGATAAAAACTGACTTATAAACTACATTTCTAGTGGTATTAGTTTTTGCATCCCTATAGAAGTAGAATTTTTAAAACGTACCAAATTGTTTAGTTATTTTGTGGTTAAACAGGATCGCTATTACGTAGCAAAATGAAACTCCCTTTTAGAGTTTCTGGCTAGCAGTGGCCAAATGGATAGAGACACTAGGGATTAGTCCTTAGTTCTCGTTGCGGCAGTTGAACTGGCAAGCCGCATGGAGAATTTAGATTTGTATGAGGGCCTAAAATATGAAGCTCTTGAGTGCTTTGCCGTAATAAAAAAAACTAAACTGCTTTCTATCGTTTTTCAGTTTACCTGCACAGTTGTAAAAATTCTTGATTCTGCTAATCTTTGTTTGCAATATTTGCATAGCGAAATGCTTAAAAGCACAGTTTATTATGAAATTATTCAAACAAGAAATCAAATCCAAAATAGACGATTGTACAAAATTCTTCACCCTAGTTTAAGAATCTTTGATTCGTGTGAAACATTTAAATTCATGTACCCTCTCACTGACAGGATTTAAATTACTGTTTTTTCATACTTATAGTACAATTTACTTTTAATTATGGTGACATTAAAGTGTAGACACTCACTCAGAGTCAAACACTACTAACTCAAAAATAACCACCAGAAGCAATTTGCTCTTAATAATGTGGCAAAAGAGACTCTAATTAGAAAACAATTGTCAGCTCATGCAAACTCCTAAATAGGAAATGAAGAATATAATATCATCTGTATTTAGTTGTGTTACTGAATCTATATCTGAGAGGAATTGAAAGAACATTTGGTCTTTTTAAAATGTATTATGGGGATTTTAAAGTATTTGAAAGCTTTAAACCTTATCGCAAAGAGTGTGACAAAAACATAACGGCTTCTTATTTTACCTTAAAGCTCACTCAAACATTTCCACTCTTTTTGTTGTTCACTTTCAATGTTCTTAATCCGAATCATATTTCAGGTCTTCCAGATCCACCTGTAAATGTACAGGTGGAACAGGGTCCACAAGATGGAACTTTGTTAGTCACTTGGTTACCTGTACCCACGAATCCAGCATCTAGTCTCATTTCACCAGTCACAGGTTATGCTGTCTTCGTCGCTGGGAAAAAAGTTGCAGAAATTGACAGTCCAACGGGTAGGTTACATTAAAATTGTAAGATTTGTTTCCATTAAAAATTTCCATTGTTGATTTCCTGTTGTTAGTTTTAAATTTACAAGTAATAATTTTTCCAAACTTAGTAGAAATAGTATTGGAAGTAATTCTTTAAGAAAATTATATGACCTTTTTAGAAGACAAGAGTCGACTTTGGGAGATTTTTATTTTCTTATTGCTTTTATTAGATACTACTGGAAGAAACTAACAGAAGTCTGGCTAACGTATGTGACTACAATTTATACAAAATTACGATAAGTAATATCATTGTTAGTTAAAGTCTGTTTAATTTAAAAAAACCAAGTTTACCCTCATGAAAGCAACTGCTTTGGAATTAATAATTAGAGGCATTACTTCTACCATTTATACATTCTTTACTTTTTTTTATATGTACCATTAATACATTCCTTATTCAAAAAGCAAATCAAGCTTCTCAAATTGTTTTCCCAATTTAATTAGAATGATTTTCAATTTAGTTATATGATTTATATTGAATTAAATCTCTTTCAGTGTTTTCTTATTTTTTTTTCTAGAGGGGAATTTATTTAAACCTTTTTTAACTTTCTTTTACAGATTATTTATTAAACCTGTATATAATGGTTTTCAATTCTTTTCATTTTTCATACAAATACAAAGAGCGGAACTTCATTTTAAAATTGTAACATTACTACAGTTAACATTAATTCGTGATCCACAAGTATTTTTTCCCTCCATTATTCAAATTGTACATTATCATTGCAACCAATGTAAACATACTTCAACTATGTAGCATGATGTAATAAAATCCTGCTAATATAATGCATATGTAGCTAAAATATTAATTAATAGAACATTTATTCATCGCTTAATATTTTTAACATTATAACCAAGAAGAAGTGCAAGTTATACTGGATTAGCTACAGAGAATGTTACACAGAAACTATTTCTAGCTCATATAATTGGTTTCCAACAATAAATTTTGTTACTTTTAATACATCAGTCATCCTCGTGCTTTAATCTTCCATCCTCTTCAATTAATGTGGACATTTTGCTGTTATTTACCTTAGTAGGCTTCTCACAGCGTTTTTATTGCCTAATAAAATTTCCCTTGTGAAATTTTTAAAACCGTTTTTAAATCATTGTTTCGTGAATTTCACTATCATAATGCACATCATTGTTTAAAACGCCATTTTGCTTTTGATAAACAAAATAACATAAATGTTAGAGAATGACTTCATTATCGGTCATTTTCAGAACAAGCTGAGCTGACAAAACGCAATAATATGTTCAGGTGTACGATGAAATATCAGCAATCAGAATAATAATTTTGGAATCCACCTGTTATAGTGAAAAGTCTAATAGAATTATGTTTTACAGAAAACCAAAGCGTACGTATTGGCCACCCACCCAGTATATTTCAAGCATAAGTTTGTTGTATTAAAAGGTTTCCTTCCAGCAGAGTCGTAGCTAGGGTTTTCAGCGCCCAGGGACAACTGAAGATTTCGCGCCCGCTACTACTTGCCAAGGATGGAAAACATTTATTTCTAAAATGTTGTAACATCAGTTTGGCGCCCCTTGGATTCTGCGCCCGGGGACAGATGCCCCCCTTGCCCCCCTCTAGCTACGCCCCTGCCTTCCAGTACTTTATGTTCAGTATTCTATTTGAATCTGGAAATAAAGTTAGGATTCGAAATCTCTGAACTAGTAGTTTTATTTTTAATGTAATGATTTGCATTTAAAAGTAACAGCTTTTCATTTTTTTTACTATGGCAAAAATTTCTCTTAGTATGTTATTAAATTGGAGTACCTCTTTTGATCCAATTTTGTGAGGGGAAAAAAAAAAGAGTCCTTTTTCATCTTTGGTGTTTCAAGCTTGATTCTACAATGCTTTCCAAATGTAAAGCATGTAAAAAGTTTAGAAAAATTTATTACAAATATTATTAATCAAATAAAATATTAAGCTTCGATTGACTAGAGATGTTACACGAAGTTAACCAATTCATCTACTTATTCATGAGTATGCTAAAAATGTTAAAGAAAATATTCTTAAATGATTTAACACCTGAAAAAGGGTTTACTTCAGATTTTGTATCTTCGGAAAAATGTTTTGTATGCTACACAAACAAAACAAACAAGCTGTATACGGTATGCGTATCCCTTGACTTCGGCAAAAATTTCACCTCGAATGCCTTATATCTTCAGTCAGGTGATTCAGAACAACAGACGGCCATAACTTTTAATCTTATAGAAGGGCAGTTTGCAGCTCTTGAAGATCAGTTTTGATAAGCTGTTTGGCAAAGAAGCTTTTCCAAGAAATATCAGGGTTATTTTCGTTGGGACTCAGGTCATGCTTTTCTGTGCATGTAAAAAATACATTTGTCGTTAGTCCTGCCTTGTATGAATAAGCGTTACCTTTCAACGGACAAAATCAAGTTCACTGTGGCAACCTAGAACCTGAAAAAAGCCCTTAAGGATCTCTGTAAATTACAGTCATCACAGTACCCACAGTGAACCCATATAAGTCGATAAAGTATCCCAAAGGAAATTCAAATCATACCAGCGTGTTTCTATAATTGAACTGTGTTCATTGATATTATTGATATTATTGGGTTCATTGATATTATAATGCATATTTCTCAATTTCTTCGTACCTTTATATGCATGTATTATCTCATTCTGGGGCCAAATCTTTACTTATCACTGAAGAGTACTTTGGAACATTGCGTCTAAATTGCGCACTGAAAGTGATAGAAATTCATAATACTCAGACATAAAGCCCATTGAAAATCGTTTCGTTGCGTTTTATTACTATGAATTTTAATGTGTTTCGAGGTTTATGATTTTATTTGTTGTTTCATGTGAATTCTCCTTTACAAGCGGTATTCATCTGTTCATCACAACATTAATAAATAAGAATTCAGTTCATAATTTTAGTTGTTTTTATGAGTTTTGTCTGAATGAGGAATAATTCTGACAATTGCCACGCATTACGGTCTTTTCAGGTTACGAGCCACCAATTTCGACCCCTTTCATTCGCATCGTCACCTCACAATATTGGAAAATTTTGATTTTCTTCTTGATGTGACAGCCATTCTCAAATATTCGGTATGTTATTTTTCTTGGAGACTGCGTTTGGCCAGTAAGTAATGCGATGTGCATCCGAGGGTATTGTAACTTCAACGCACATGAAACGGACCTCTGGATCTTCCATTTGTTTGGAACCGCTTTCATATAACAGAAACGAAGGAATGATCTACAGAAAGAAATCAATGATTGCCTTACATGAAACCTGCCTAGAGTCTACTAACTGTATGAAAACGTTGCGAATCTTTCAACAATTCTAAGCTAAAACTAACATTCTTCGAAAGATAACACATTAAAAAATTCTTTTTGAGCATTAAAACTCTTAGAAGCATTCCAGATTTGACACAGTGCCTAATTAACATATTTAAGGAGAATCAAATGGCTTTCATACAAAACATTTTATATACATACCTCACTCACAACATAGACGTTCCGGACTAACATAGACGTTCTCCGGTTTCTCAGAATTTGCACTAACTGCTTTAGGAGCTTTGCTGGTAAAATAAGTTTCATCAAATTACTATTGCGTATTTTCTTCCTTCTTCTTTACGTACGGTAAGGGTTCGTGTGGATTTGGAGTGAATAACAACAACAGCACTTTATAAAGAATGGAAACACAATTTATTAGTCAGTATTATTCAAGACGGCTCTAAAAAGCAAGTTTACAGTCGTCGAAAAATTCCTATAAATACGCTGAAACAATCAGCGACTCAACCTTTTAGGTTATCAGACTACAACGGTGGGGACAACTTCACTGCAAAGCACTAGAGTACACCTCCCGACTCTGCTCGGTCATTCTCGGAACTCCACGCGCTCTCGAGACTCTCCACGCTACAACTCGCGAAGCACTCGACGATACACTAGAGTACAGCTCCCGACTCGGTTCAGTCGTTCCCAGAGCTTAACACATTCTGAGATCAAACTCGATGATGCACTAACTCGCGATATACTAACAGACTCTTCCAGTGCACTCGACGACCAACTCGGCACTAGACTACGAGACACTCGCTCGCTGACCGACTATCAACTCGATCGACTCTGCACGCATAACTCTCCGCATACCAGCAGGGTTTATATAGCTTTTGGCTTGTGTTCGAGAACATTCTGGGCTAAACCAGTAAGAATTGGTTCCAGAAGATTCTCTATCCGTCTATGGCATATCACCAATTTTGTCGACAAACGGGCGATTTCTCAGCAAATGTGGCAACCCTGCCTTTCTTCGACATTTTCTGGCAACCCTAAACCTGCTATGCGAGGAAGCTATGTTATGGACATTTCCTAGCAATACGAAATTGGAATTAGATCAGCATTCATCCTTTCCGTAGAAGAGTTTCGAACTCTTTTCTAGTGCCCTGTGCTATTGGGTTAACCACATGTACCACGTAAAATTGCTGAAGCATTTTACCAAAACATACAATCAGCAGCAGCTTAGCAGTAAGTTCAAGAAGCCCTAGAAGATTCAGTTGTTAATAAACAAAGAATTAGACATGCTGACGTCCCTATTCCATGTAAGTTGTAAATTAAATTATCTTGCTTTTATTGATTCCCCCCCCCAAAAAAAAAATTCTTAACTTCCTTTTCAAACTTTAAATATTTCTCAGTTTTTCCAGTTTTAAACAACACCTTAAATTTTATCATCGCTTACCTATTAACTACTTGCGTCTTTATTTCATCTGCACGGGCATTTGCTCTTGACATAATCAACGCGTATTTGAATAATATTCAGTTTAGAATTTTTTTTAATATTAAAAAATATAACAAGCCGATGGAATTTTTTCCCAAACTCCATAAACCTTTTGAGCGATTTCTGATAAGAACCGCGGAAAACTTCATTAGTGAAAGATCTTATCTCGAGAATACATTTTATGTTTTATACATTCTTTGCTCACCCTTCAATAAAAAACCAGTTATCGAGGTAAAGAGCATTATTGGTAAGGTTACAGTTATAGTGGAGTACAGCAAATAAAACATTTTCTTCTGATATCAAAACTACATGAACTCTTTTGGAACCAGTGAAACGAATGTTTAATTTTAAACACACTGATGGCGTGAAGTGCCCGCTTATGAACAACGTAGCACTTACTAAGTTTCTGAAAATACGAATACGATATTTGGAATGAAACCAACATACTTAACTTTTTTAAGATTTTGTTGTATTGCATAGTAACTATTATGATTCTCATTATCAGAAATGCTTTTAGGGGATCACGCGCTCATTGATGGATCACAACTCCTGACATTGAACAAAAAGTGCATTACAGTTAGAAGTAAATCGATGGATGGCCTGTCAGCCGATTCTTTAGTCTGTGCTGTTCCTAATGATCTTCTTCGAAGCGTACAAAAGGTAATTACGAGTAATTGTATTACAGTTTAAATTAATTTATTTTAGTAGTTTTTAGTTGAGATCCTGTAAATATTTGTAACAGAAGTATTGAAGATATATATAAAAATATCTAAATGTTGTTATTGCTGCCCATTTAAAACGAAAACATAATGTTTAATTGCGTTAAGGAAATTTATCAAGACGAATAAAGAAAATATTAACGTTTAAGGTACTAGATGTAATTTTTGATAAATGTGCTTAAAATGTGGAATGCGATTGCATAATCTACTCTGTTTGCAATTTCTTAAATGATATTTAATTAACATGTAATAAACATTAAAAACAGAAATCCTTAAAATTATTATTTAAATAAGCACTTACGAAAAGAAGTTGATAAACCTAGGTATTAATAAAAGACTGCTTATACACTTCATCATGTTCATGAAGTAATAAGTACTTCAGAAATTATTCAAGCTTAAAAGCAAATAATTGTTAGTCTTCCTATCATAAATCTATTAAAAATAAAGAATTTTAAAATTAAATTTGAACTAACATTATTAAGCATTTACAAATTAATTTCATTATAGTAACTCAACTTATTTTCAAGATTCGTATAAAAATTCAAAATTAAGAAAAAATTAACTTCTAAATTAAGGTTTAATTAATAGAATACTTTTAATACTAACATTCGTGTCTAATAAAAGATCCTCTTTCTTAACAATTTCATTTAATACATTTTGTTTTATTATTAAAAATTTAACACTAATTTATTAGCTATAATTAATTAAGAAAAATAACTGACCAAACTGCGTTAAGTTTTTACACAAATTTTGCTCTACCTGTTAAGGAAAATTTATTAAATAATTACACTGCAACTGCTGTAATTTTCTCTCTTTTCCCGTTTCTGAACTGAATTATAATAAGCTTTAATTAATCAAGATGTAATTATATTTTTCCCTGATTACACTGTGTAAAAACCTAATTGAAAAGCAATGTTTACCACGTAAATGTCTGCTCAAAAAATGTAAAAAAAATCTTAGCTGTTACTCCTGTTTCCGAATCAGTAGCTCGATTTAATGTTAAGTACAAAAAGGAACATGTTAACTGCGGTAATTGCTCACCATATTTATGCAGTTTTGAAATGTTCATATAAAAATAGTAGAAAATGATAATTTTTCTGTTTCTGGAAACACATTTAATGCATCTGAATGCATCCGAATTTGTCAAACACAGGTAAAATGTTTAAATTGCAAGTAAGTAATCTCTTTATGCAGTAATTAAGGCGAATTTTATTTTCTACTTAAATGAAACTGTGTAGAAGTGCACAACTGAGTTAAAGTTTATAATAATTTAATTTTAACATAGCATAATACTAACGTAACGTTAGTTGAAGCTGATAAGTTAGGGTATATGAACATACTAAAATAAAGTTAAATAAAACCCAATTTTTTAAAATTAATCTAAAGAGTAAAACCGACAGACTTCGAGCTCTACGTATTTCAGAAGCATCCGACACAGATCTTTCAAATTCATGGCAAAAATTTGCTTATTTATTAAAACTAATGCAAAAATATTTTGCTCTTTAAAGGAAAATAATGTCATATTCTCTAGAAATACCTAGAGCATTTCTCTAAACTTGGGAGATTTTGATACAGATCTTCCACCTTTAAAAAGCAAGCTATTTTGCTCAATATTTAGATTATTCTCAAAATAGTTTGAACAGTAGCTTTCTTTGTTCCTTGAAGAAACTTATGTTAGAATTTCTAGAAATGTATACGGTGTTTTCCTAAAACCATAGAGAGACTTATTTTCAATGTCTCCCAATTTTTAAGCTGCAGTTGGCCTGGTCCGTTTGGATCTAAAAACCTTTAATAAGTAAAAGATATAAAACTAATTTTAATCTACTATAATCGTATAATATACCTTTAAATCTTATTCAAATTATATAAATATTTCCTGAATGAGTGAAAATAACATAACATAACAAAACTTGAAAGTAAAATATATGTAACAGAACACTACTCTATAATTCGAAGAGCATAAAATGATGGGCATTTAAATATGAAGATTAATTGTTAAAAATGGGCAATAATAATGCTCTCAACTTATTTTATTCATGATCAGTATGATATTAAAATTCGTATATTTTTATCGATTAAAGACCGCTTATATTTGTCGTTCATTTTTAAAATATTTTAAGGACGCTGCTGTTATCAGCGTTCATTTTAGTGAATACAGTTGGATCTCGTCGATCGCATGGGTTATATCTTAAATTAAACTATACAAAATCAGCTAGGTCTTAATTGAACAAAAGAAAAAGTTTAACATGAATGCGAATAGCGCAGACATAGTTTTAAAAAATTAAAAAACAGAAAATATTAAAATCAAAATTGGATTTTTACTTAAATTGAAACTCTTAGAAATTTCTCCTAAATTAAGATAAGCTTTCAGAAATGTCGTGTTTTATCTTACTGCATAAATTTTGAAGCACCGGAATTTTTTGAATTGCGGTTAAAGACCATATGTTATGCATATTACAAATTCATAAAATATTAAATTGTTTTTAAATTATTACTATGTGCTTGTAAAAATTCGTCGGATTGCAGATAATTAGAAGCTATTGCGAATTGATAGCTTTCTAACTGACTTTTATAAATTTAAGAAGGTTTTTATGCGAATCTTATTTATCTTATTTATCTACGGCATTTGAAGTAACCTTTCAACTTCGTTCTTATTTTGCGTGAAAATTGGAATCCAATAAAACTCATCTTCTCCAAAGTAAACCTTTTTCTTCACCAAGCAAAAAAGACTGCTGCAGAGACAAAAATGGATCATATGTGAACGCAAAAGAAAGAATATTTATTACATCCACTGATGTTTGTATTAGTAATTTAACAAGTTTAGAATTTAGGAAACTGATATAATGACCAACCGCTTTCATAAAGACTAAACGAACTTGAGAGGAATAACTTAAGAGGTGTAGTAAATAAAAAGGGTGGCTCCAAAACTGGAAGCCTTCGAAATAATCGCTTTAGCGTCCTTGGATTGTGCTTGTTAACTAGTGCTTTTCGGATTGCTTAATTCTTGTCGGATATCGCTTACAGCTATTATGACGAATCGGTTTTTAGACTATGTTTCTTTTGTCGATTGAATCTTAATTACACTTTGTAAAAATTGTTTTTACTTTTTAAAATTGGATAATCTTTAATTAAATTTATTCTTATTATTTATCTTTATTTCAATATCGATTCTCAAATTATTTATCTTATTAAACTGAAACTTCGATCTTCAGATCCAATATGTATGCCTTCTCAAACTGTTCTTTTATTACAGAAGGCTCGATGTCCACGAATTGTATTAACCAAAATTTCTTCTTACATAAGAATAAAATACTGACAGATTAATACAATAACTTATATTTTAGTAAACGAACAATCGTTTGATAATGTAGAATTTGTGATGTGAATCTATACCGCTTAACCATCAAAGAAATTTTAAACTATTTAACAAAAAAAGGAATAAAGTAAGAAAAAAAGTAAAACGTGATAAACTGTTTGAATTCGCAATAAACTAAAGGCGCGAAAGTTGAGATTTGAAATAATTATAACTTTTAAAAATTCCGGTTGGTATTGTGACTATCAATGGGTAATTATTAGATACCATCAAAAGAATAAGGAAACTTTAAAATTAAATTGTGAGCAAAAAAAATTCAGTTTTCCTCTTAAAACGATACAATTACTGATAGTGTATTCAACCTCTTGCAAAAAAAAAGTAACTGTATTTCATTTCGTACATCTTAAATTAAACGATATGTCAAGTTTTTTACCTATATATTAATTATTTTATCATTGCACTTAAAGTTCCACAGAAATGTTAATTTTCTTGAATTCTAACGATGGTTTTTTCTTATTGAATTCAGTAACTTTCCCATATACCAAATTTTTAGGAAAAACTTTTAATACGTTGTTGTTTAAAAGAAGGATAGTTTTTAACAACTAAAGATAACTAATTTATAAATAACTTCACGCTTGATAGCTTTTGGTTTTATTAGGCTTTGAGTTTTAAATAACGATTTTTTCACGGTCGTTTTTACAGTAATGTGGTCAAGCTTCCAGCTTGTTATCACTAACGTTTTTTTTATCTATACGAGTCCATTAAGTACGTGACAACTGTTTTCGTGTAACGGCGGTTTTAGCAAGGAAAAAGTTCATCCACGATCTTTTTATTACTGGCAAATAAAAAGAATTTTTCCCCAGCCGTCATTTTATCTGTCACCAAGTTGTCCTCTTTTTTGAGGGCGGATTGCACGACGCGGGGTAACCTTGCAACGTAGTTTATGATCCTGAGTATTAAGAATCGGACACAGAGCTCACAGAGTTGCTCAACCATGTAAACCGCAGGGCTCGAGCATTTGATCCTTTGGATTCACCCTTCTCATCATCCAAGGTACAATTAACTACGAAAAACGTCCTGTTTCGGATGTTGTTTTAGTGTCGCTGTTGTGGAATATTACTTAAATCAAAATAATTTTTGTATTACAAAAATCGAATGTAAAAACAGAAAAAAATTAGGAAAGGATCATTGAAAATAAATTCGTTGGGTGACCATGTTTTATGTGAATGGAATTTTAATATATAAACACGAAATCACAAACATTCTAAGTTCAGTACATTTTTATAATTTAAGAATGTAGCATAGTATATATTTCTTTAAAATCTTCTCAGAAATATTCTTTAATACAATATAAACTAAAAATGTTTCACTAAAAAATTATTTCAATGAAAATCCTAAAACTGAGTACTTAAAGGTACTCAGGTACTTAAAGGCCTACAGAATTTTTAAGTATGAAAGCTTTTAAAGAGATTCTGAAAAAGGCGTGCTATTCATAATCATTATGAAATGCAACATTTTCTCCCATACGAAATGTCATCCAGCTGATGATTAAATAATAAAATAGCCTAAAAAGAGGAATGTAGTATTGAACTGTTTTGTGTGATATTTACGTCGGGTGGGATTTTCAGAGTTCGTAAATGCTTGTTTTAGAATTTTTAAGTTTTAGACTATATAATTTTAATTTAAAACAAATTAGCTATAGACTAAAAATGTACTGAATAGTCTCTTAACTGATAGTCAGTTAAGCACTTTACATGTAGATGTCATTTTTATAACAATTTAATGACATTTCTATCGATTAAAAGGATTACTATCAATTTTAGATACCCTGTTACTACTGTGATAGATCTTTAATGCGGCTTAACAAAAGGGCTAAGAAGTTATTACAAAATTTCATAAGTTTTCCAATCATTTATTTAACATAACTTATGCTAGCACGAATCCAGGAAATAACTGATGGCATTTTACATTGGATTAAATGTAAAATGAAAGTTTATGCATTAGGACTAAGATTTAAAATACCTAATAAGAAGTTTAAATTTTTAACCATATTTTATAAAATGTAATCTTTCTCATATATGGCATAAATTCTTAAATTCATCAATATCTATTTAGGATGTAGATACAAAAGCATGTACTTTTTTTATTAGAATCAACTCAATTCCTGAAGGAAAGGGAAAAGACATATTTCTTGAATCAGATAAAATGGGATTACGTCCATTAAATAATAAATGATGTGTTGCTTTTAAATATCAGGAAATTAAAACATTAGCGTCTTTAAATGAAATATGAGAAATAAAAAGCTTTAACTTTCATCTGTAGCAAAATAATATCTGCGAAAATGTGTACTAAACTGTAACAACGATATCTTTAATTCTGTTAAGAAACCGAAAATAAATTAACGGAGAATTGTACATTTTTAACTATGTTGTTCAGTGTGTGTATATTTAAAAGATAGAGAAGTTAATCAGTTGCACTTGTGAACTGAGCTTTCTTTAATATTACTTTCATAAAGCTCTTTTTGAATCAAATGCAAAGCCTGACTCGTTGTCAATACATTTCTCTTTCTCTTTTACTGCTAACTGTACTTCATGATCTGCATCATATCATAATCTCACAGAATTCTTAGGAAAATGAAATGGAATTACAGAGAGATTGGCATGTTCAATAATAGAGCAGCTTTTTAATTAAATCACAGCATTTTTAGAGGAGGGGATATTATTATTATTAATGGTAATAATATCAGCGAAAGTGTGGATCTAATAACTAGTTTTATATAAAAATGAATACAGTCGGAAAAATCGGTATTTTACTGTTTTAAGAACAAATTTTAATTTTTCGTATGATATTCAGCTCTATGACTGCTCGTAATTTAAACATATTAGTTTCCACAAGAAACTTGGTCACCCAGTGGTTCAACGGAATATTTTATTGGCTTGACCAGTATAATATTTCAAATATGTCTGATTATATTATGTTGCTTGTTTGTTTTTTTCTAAGTGTAATGTAATAGTTGTTGTGACAGTGTTGTGGCATGCTTATAACTAATGCCTGCAATTAGAAATTAAATGTCTGCATGATTTATGTGTTTCTATGCTATAGTATTTTGCAAATTAATGTTTGCATTATTTTTCTAGGTCTATAGTGGCGCTTCGAAGATTTAGAAACCCTTCTAGATTTAGACACCCATGACTGGCATTTGACTTTTTGTAGATAGTTTTTGAACTTCCAGAATAGTAGCATGAGGCGCACTTTAGCTCTTTTTACAGTCTCATGTCAGCGTAGCTTTATAAGCAGGCTTTATTTGCTTGGTATGCTGTAAAAGCAGAGTTACTTTAATAAATTAACTTCAGTTGTAAAATACTGCGCTGCTGAATGTTTAGTATATCCTCACGATAATTTTACTTCATTTGCTTAGCACTGTTTAAAATTTAATTTTCTTCACCAACACCTTTCCCAGAGCTAGATTATATAACAAGATAATAAACTCCATTGAGCTTGATTTTAATTTTTTACCCACTATGAAAAAAATTAAGTATGCCCCAATAATTTTCGAAGCAGCTTTAAATAGCGTTTTAACCATCATGCAGATATGGCATTGAATAGGGCGTTAAGAGTGAAACTTTCAAATGCTTTGAATATTTCTTCGCCAGGGAGATGTCTTAGAAGAAATGCAGAACGAAGGACGATCGGAATTATCAGACATTGTCGAGGAAGAGGAAGAAACATCGACGGAAGCAGGGGAGGTTTGTAGTGGAACACATAATCTGTTGTTGCACTACATTTCTCTGTGTGTGGCTTCTTCTCTCTTTCCACCCGTTTAGTTTGCTTTTTGTGCTCAATGAATTCAGGCAAGGCCATCTAGGAAAGAAACAGGCCGGGTACGCCATTTTGTAACAAATGACGATTGGGTTACGAGGTTCACACCTTGTTTCATGCCCTTCGGCTTATCTGTCTTATAGATGGCCTTGGCTAAGGCTATTAGATTTTCCCTTATGCAAAAACGGCCTACCAACACTAAGTTACTAAACGCATTTATTTTCTAATGCTCTGCATTATATGCCAAATAAACGTTTTGGAATTTACATATTAAAAATTGCTAAGTATTGCTATTTCTTAGCATAAGTGTTAGATATCTTAATGGTCACTATAATATAAGCTGCGTATTTAAATGTTCAAATTTTTGTGTAAAATTTTAATATGCTACTTTATCTAGGTGCAATGCTTAAAAACTGCATTTAAGAAGATATTTTCCTTCACCAACTTTTTATTTTTCTTCTTTTTTGATTGCTCTTTCATAGCTGCCATTACATTTTAAACATAATGTTTTGAACATAACAGACATCAGAATTTAGATTTGGTTAGATAGCAAGAAATGTTAAACTAATTCCTTTAATATTACCGTGGCAGTAGGATTTTCTGAAAATATTTTTCACGTAACAAGACTAAAGATTGATATCTTATTGACAGCTTTCTGGTTTTAAGAATATGAAAACAATTTTATGTTACGTCACTGGTCTTGAACGCATTTGTGATAACGAAAAATATTTCAGAACTATAATTGAATTGCGCATAATAATTCAAAAAATATTTTCATAGAAAGAAGCAGCTCTTGAAAATTTTAATCGTCTGGTCATTAAAAAACAATAATTAATTACAATTACAATAATATACTTTTAACATTTTGCAATTTTAAAACTTCTCTCAGATGATGATTAGCAATTATAAAATGTTTATCGTCTTTCTATGCGAAACCCATGGCAACCCTTTCTTTGCTATGTCATGTAGTTGCATGTTTTATGAAGTTTATCATCTACAAATGCATTTAAAAATGAGGTAAATTCATTCATAAACACATTCGTTACGTATTTATAACTAAATAAAAGAAAAACATTTTTGCCGTCATAAAAGTATGCGTTTGTTTATCCGTAAAGCCTAATTTTTCTTAAAATACTCAAGCATTTCGCTGTAGTTTTAAGCGTGAAAGACTCATAAAAGGCACAGGTAGCTGCAGTAAGTAGAAAAATAAAAAAATATGCTGATTCCCGAACGTCAAGAGAGTCAAGCAGCGCACCTGTCATTTGTGACTTCTGATCCGTACTTTTTTCTTTTCACCCTCTACTCAAAACCATGCCATTTTATCCTCTGACCCTTTGACACTTATCAGTAACTCCTTTAAAAGTGTACCGATTTATTTCGTACCATTTCATCTTCTACTTATAATGTCAATATCTGAGGCAGCGAATAAATAAATATTTTATCATAAATAATTTTGCAATATGAAGTTTGTTTATTACTTTAGTATGCAAATTAATTACCTAGGAATAGTATGCACCTTTTACTTTCAAACATTTCGCATTATTTTCAAATGTAAAAATTCTGCGTAAAGGATATATTACAATATTTTCTCTGGAATTAAATTGAAATTTAATTGCATTTTTTATCTCCTCCTTTTTCACTCCTTTGTCAGGGAAAAGGAATCTATAAAACCCCATGATTATTGCCTATTCTAGTATGATACATACTACATGAGCAACATATCAATCCCTGTATGTAATTCTGCAAACACATAAAAGTGCGAAATGCAATTCTGGTTCCATTGCATGTTATTATGTGCTCTCTCTCAAAATGTGCTAGCTGATAATTTTTACAATTTTAATTTGTCCCTATTGAATTTATAGAAACCTCAATACATTTAAACAAAATATGCAGTATTTTCCTACAAATATAGTATACATTAAATGGAGTTTTAAAACATAATGACAAACGCTAAATTTGCCATGTTCGCTGTAGTGGAAATTTACTCAAGAATTCTAAAGATGAACAGATTCGAGAAAAAACTAGGAAATTAACGTAGAAAAACTGGAAACAAAAAAAAATATATCAGAAAATAAATAAAAACATTTGAGGATAAAGTAAGTCAGTAAATATGTCAGGAAGGCTAAAAAATCCTTGTTATGAATGTAACTCTGTTAAAACGTATTTATAAGTGTAATTTAGTGCTAGTAGCAAATTAAGGATTAAATTTTTGTTATGAAACCATCTAGATTTGAGACTGTAAAATCACTTATGCTTAGATATCAACATAATGAATTGTATTTCTCATGTTTAGCTGGAAAACAGCACAAATAATTTTATTAAAAACATTTATTTAAAAAAAAAATTCTTGATTACTGATGAAAATAGTATTGTACGATTCATTGCGTTTTGTTGGGAAGGTGGCGGCAGATTTCTAGAAACTTTTCATTATGCTCTGGGGACGAAATATTCAAGAGTTGCTTTCCAGACGAAATAATAGCATTTCCTGCCATATGCTGGCTTGCTATCCAAACAGCGAAAAGGGAACATATAAAAGCATTGAGCACTACATAATATTCCTATGTACGAACTCCTATGTAAACTTTGTAAGTATCATTTTAGTCAGTACGAAAGGCGAAATGTTTAGGATTCACAGGGTACATAAAATATGAAAAATTCAAGCAGCCTGTCAATAAACTTGTTGCATTTTTGCAAGATGTGCACTTCATGCATAACAAAAAAACTTTCAATTAATAAATTGTATAAAATTTTAATAATTACATTATCGATCAACAGATTGAAATAACTCTTAGAACCATGTATGTAGATGTTATAAAAAACGGCATAGAAGCACATCATCGTACAGCCAACTAAATAAATCAGTAAGAAAGCATAAATCAGCAACTCAGCATAATAAAAATTTTTAACAGTTTCAAAGAATATGCTCAGACTTATGGCATTCAAAGAAAGAAAAATGAACTTAATACGTGTACTAAAATAGGCAATGAAGATACATAAACTTAAATGTTTACTATAATAAGCAGGGAAGATAGATAAACTTACACGCAAAGCACTTGAAAAAAAGTTTATGAATTTGAGAGCTTACCTACTTTAGTAAATGCAGTAAAAGTGCGACATAAATAAGGTAAAAAGAATTCTGTATTTAACTAAGTAAACTGCTAGCTACCAAGATGAAACATCATTAAAAACAGTATTTCAAAGGCATATTTACCGAACAAATAACGTAAGATATAAAGATGAATTGACTAAACTTATAGCAGCGGTCGATTTGAGGAAAAGAAGAAACCATTATTTATTTATTCAGTAGCTAAGGCAGTCGACAATAACTGCTGTGACATACACTGGCACTGGACGAAAGAGGCTTTGGATGTGTTCTCGGGATATATCAGTCCATGTTGTCTTGACAGATTGTCAAAGTTTATCTGGTGCAGCTTGTGTGATGTATTTTGAGCTATTTCTTGCCAATCATTCATCAGACGTGTTTGATGGGTAATATATAGAGGGAGATTTAGGCAAGGCAACAGTGAAACCTGGTGGGTAATAGAAAATTAACGTTGTAAACCACGTGCGGTCACGCGTTTTTTAGTTGATACTTGGCCGTGGGCAAGCTTGAAGTCATGGGAGAAATGGCTGTTGAATGTGATGCCAATACGTGTTAGGCGGGTATGAGAGTAAAATTCAGTGTCTCCCCAAAACCATAACTCCGAGCGACGGACCGGTATGTGATGCATAATACATTATTCACTATATCTGTCTCCATGGTGCTACCAGATTCTGATACGATAATCATGGTTGGCAGAATCGAGACTGGTCTGACAAAGCGAAAAATTGAATAGCGTAAAAATATAACTTGTCTGATAAAAGAATAACAAGACAGAGTTTTGCTATTCTTTTATCCGCGTTCAGCGTTCAATGCAGCATTGCAGCCTCAAACACATATAAAGTCAACAGTAATCATAGCATTAAATCCCTTGCATAAATTCCCCTCCTTTGCGAACACCTTCCCTGGCCACCGCATATCCCGGTTCTTAACTCCATAGAAAATGTATATGGTGGAAAAACTGCGTCCGACAGCACTCTCCTCTTCCATCTATTTTAGAAGCTACTATAAAAAGCTGCATAGCGAATGGATGGTATTCTCTGGACACAAATGCACTCCAGAAGCATGTAGACTCGATGCCCAAATGAATCAGAGCAGTTATCCGTGCAAATGGTAGTCCAATAAAGTATTGATCTTGAGTTTCTAGTTCATTGGCCAGTGTGTGTATAACTTTCCACATTAAAGGACATAATTCCAGTACTTAAAACAATTTATGGCTCTTCCTTTTTGTGGTGCTTTTAGGTTATGTTACTAGCGTGCATGATTTGCATATGCATTGCAATGCATTTCATGTCCTATCGAAACCTGTTCATGATGCAAATTTCAAATGTATTAGAAGCTTTCTTCATGGTGTGACACCTTTGAAGGAAGCAGTTATTTCAAATCATACAGTTTTTATTCACGCACTTCACCGCAGCACATTTAAATGACAAAATAAATTTCATTTTGTTAGTTAAAATCTGTACGAATGAGCTTAAATAAGCACTATTTGGAGGAGGAATTAGGACATCTTCTCAGTGTATTCACTGGAAATATATTAACGGGTTAAAAGTCTGATATACATATAATGTTCTGAGTGTTAATAACTAAGGTAGATGAAAGCAATGTAATACACCTTGTTTTGTTTATGTTTCTTGTTGATAACTGAATAAAAATTGTTTCGGCTGCGCTAACTATTTTTAATAGTTAGTTCATGTAGCAGATCATGTCGTAAAGAACTGAATTTGAAATTGGCACACAAAATTAATTAAGTTACTTTACATAATAATACTATATTTGTATTAAAACTACTACCTTAGTGAAATGGGAAATAAATCATCAACAGCA